CCTCCCAAGTAGCTGGGACCACAGGCGCCCGCCACAACGCTCGGCTATTTTTTGGTTGCAGCCATCTTTGTTTTGGTGGATCTGGGCTGGATTCGAAACCGCCACCTTAGGTGTATGTGGCTGGCACCTTAGCCACTTGAGCCACAGGCACTGAGTCTCCTCTCTCTTTACCTTCTTAAAAACTACTCAAGTGGGCGGCATCCATAGTTCAGTGAGTAGTGCGCCAGCCACGTACACCAAGGGTGGCAGGTTCGAACCCAGCCCAGGCCAACTAAACAATGACAACTGCAACAACAACAAAAATAAAGCTGGGTGTTGTAGCGGGTACCTGTAGTCCCCGTGTATGTGGCCAGTGCCCTAACCACTGAGATATCAGTGCTAAGCCTGCCTAATTTTTTTCTTTTAGTAGAAATGGCATCTCCAGTTAGTTGCTCAGGCTGGTCTTGGACTCTTGACCTTAAGGGATCCTTCTGCTTCCACCTCCAAGAGTGCCAGGATTACAGGCATGACCTGACTGCCCAGCTCACTAAACTATTTTTTTCTTTATTGAAGACAGAGTCTCACTTTGTCACCCTTGGTAGAGTGCTATGGCATCATAGCTCACAGCAACTTCAAACTCTTGGGCTTGAGGGAGTCTGTTGCTTCAGCCTCCCAGGTAGTTGGGACTACAGGTGTCCGCCACAAGTCCTGGCTGTTTTAGAGATGAGGTCTTGCTCTCGCTCAGGCTGGTCTCGAACTCCTTAGGCAATCCACCTGCCTTGGCCTCCCGAGGATTACAGGTATGAGCTACCACTCCCAGCCCCCACTAAACTGTTCTTATCTGAAGTTTTGCTTTTTTCAGAAGGTCAAAGGAATGGCTTTGGCCATATGTAGCTCTAGATCCAGTCAGGGCTCACTTAGGAGAATGAAATTCTGAAATGTATCCAAGTTGTTGAGGGTTTCAAAATTATTCTCTTTATTGTGCTTAGTCAAATCTATTGGGGGCGGGGTCCATTTGCCTGCTGGTCACAGGACATGTGGACTGTTTCCAATTCTTGGTGATTAGGACAAAGCTGCGTTAAACATCTGCCTGCAGGTTTCTATGTTCATCAGTGTTCACATCACTTGGGAAGTTTTTCAGGAGAGAGACTGCTGGGCTTTTGCTTAAGTGTGCGTTTCACATCTCTCCATCCTAAAAATTGTCATTTTTGAGCATTGAGAGAGTTAAGAAAGTCCACTGGAGCCTGATATCCAGGCCTTAGGCAGGAGGTCTTGCCAGCTGCTTTTCCACATTTCCCCAGTACTAAAGTGAAAGTTCATTTGGGCGATTTGTGACTTGACTGACTGTTGCTGCATTGTAAATAAGGCCTTCTGCTGAGGTCTGGCAAGAGCTGACTTTCTAGTAGCAGGTGAGACTGAGCTGCCCGGCATCTTTCCCTCCTTGGCTGCACCCCACTTGGCAGGGGACAGGGTGTGCCGGGCCAGAAGGCAGGCAGCCCCAGCGGAATTCTTAGCCTTAGTAGCCAGTAGCTACCTTCTGTAACCTTGAGGTGACAACTTCTAATGTTCCATGTTCCCATTGAGGAATCTGGCTGCTTATGAGAAATGAGAGACAGTACTTCCTAGGATTTCATGTCTTAGCACTCTGGGAGGCCAAGGCGGGAAAACTGCTTGAACTTAGCAGCTTGACTTTGGGAGTTGGGGACAAGCTTGAGCAAGTGCAATACGTGATCTCTACTAAAAATAGAAAAATTAGCCGAGTGTTGTGGTGGGTGCCTGTAGTCCCAGCTACTCAGGAGGCAGAGGCAGGAGGGTCTCTTGAACCCAGAAGTTTGAGGTTGCTATGAGCTATGATAAACCCATGGCACTCTAGGCTGGGCTAGAGAGTGAGACTCTTATTTCAAAAACAAAACATAAGAATTAAAGGAATCTATGAGTTGTTAAGAATTCTTTGATTGTCATATGTACTATTTCTGAAGTTTAGGCTTTCTGAAAGCCAGAGCAACTCAGATGACTACACATCTGAAAGGACCAAGACAGTTTATTGATAACTTATCCAAAAGCCCCACTGGGTACCTTCAGTGTTCCTGGGGGGCATAGAGGACAGGAAGCTAATATTCTTTTTTTTGAGACAGAGCCTCAAGCTGTACCCCTGGGTAGAGTGCTGTGGCATCACAGCTACAGCAACCTCCAACTCCTGGTCTCAAGTGAGTCTCCTGCCTCTGCCTCCCAAGTAGCTGGGACCACAGGCATCCATTACAACGCCTGGCTGTTTTTTGGTTGCAGCCATCGTTGTTTGGCGGGCCTGGGCTGGATTCGAACCTGCGAGCTCAGGTGTATGCGTCTGGCACCTTAGCCAATTGAGCCATAGGTGCTGAGCCAGGAAGCCAATATTCTTAGTCTCAAGAAATTTATAGCAAGCTAGGTGTGGTGGCTCACACCTGTAGTCTTAGGGCTCAGGGAGGCTGAGGCGGGTGGTTTACTTGAGGCCTGGAATTTGAGACTAGCGTGAGCAAAGTGAGATAGCTGGGCATCGTGGCGGGTGCCTGTAGTCCCAGCTTCTTGGGAGGCTGAGACAGGAGGATCACTTGAGCCCAAGAGAGTGAGGTTGTTGCTATGACTCTCCCCAGGGCAACAGAGTGAGACTGTCTCAAAAAAAAAAAAAAAAAAAAAGAAAAAGAAAAATCTATGGAGTAA